AGATGGGGAAGGGGGGTGGAGGGGGCGTTGAGTGGAGAGGGAGCATGGGAATTGGGTGCACACAGAGCATGCGTGCAGGTTGTTTGAGAAGGGTTTGTAGTGGTGCATTACAAGGTGGTGAGGTGTGACAAGGGCCGCACGCAGGCGAGGCGCGAGGGGGCCTGTCCAACAGCGCAGGCGCCCGCTGCTGCCCGCCCGCTGCAGCGGCTCAAGGCGGCGCACACCCTGCTGGCGCTCGCCGAGCGGCGAGCGCCCTCGGGTGCGGGGTGCGGCGCTGTAACTAGCGCGCTGCCTTATTATCCGCACCTTCAGGGTGCAGCGCGTTGACGGGCGGGTTGCTGAGTGTAATGACAGCGACCCCGTCGGGATCCACCCTGTACTCGGCCGTGGGAGCGCCCGCCATGGGTTCGAGCTGCTCAAAAGCTGTCACAAGGGTGTGTGGATTCAACAAAGGCACGATATAGTGCCGAGAAAGCTGTGCTGCGAGGGCTGCTGCTGATCACTGTGGAGCAGGGGCGAAAGGTAAATCCTGGCGTTGTATACTATAGCGCAAAGCAAAAGTAGTACGTGCTACACCTTCCTAGACCGAGGAGTGCCCGCAAATCGTTGCACCCATGTGGTTTCATTCCACGCTGACGTGGCGCTCAAGCCGCTCTAGCCGCCGGCTCCCCGCTTCACGCCCGCAGCCCCGCATGCGCCAGGTTGGCGTGTTGCTTTGTTTCATGAAACGTGCCGCCACCACTGCTGCGGGCGGGCCGCCCGCGTCGGCTGGCGCGCAGCCCTGAAGGGTCCAGGCAAGCGTGGTGGTTGGGGCCGTCTCACTCGGTTCGTCACCGGGCCCCCGGAACGGCTCCCGGCAAGCATGGCGCCGGGAGCCGCCCGTAAGGAAGGTTGGCCCCAAGGCAGCAACACATGATTATTTCGCGCCCTGTGCACCGTCCTTTGCAGCGAAGGCGGCAGATGGGGACCCATGCAGCCGAGAACACCAGGGGAGGCGGTACGCATGATGGTGAGGTGACCCGCCGCTCCCAGAATCAGTCACCAGGGCAGGACGCGCAAATCGCGCCGCCTGCACCACCCTGCCACACACTCCTGGGGAATCACAGGAGCGAAGCCCTGAGGCCGGCTGCAGAGCGGCCCCCGCGCGCGCCGCCGCAGCGCGCTCACACGCGATTTGGGTTGACCAGAGGGGGGCACGCACCGTCCAGTCGCGCCCCTGGGGGCGGGCCGCGCGGGCGCTCTGCTGCTCGGGTGACGCACGTGGCGGAGGGCTGGGATGGGCCCGTTCAATTGATGCTCCTCCCTTCCCCCGCCCCCGCCTCTCCGGCAGATGGCCTCTCGCTGTGCAGCCATTGGCTGGCCACGGTGTTCAGGAGCAGCGACAGCGCCTCGTTGCGCTGCTGCGTTACGACTGCAAGCTTTGTCGGACAAGTATATTGCTGCTGAGCACACTGCTGCTTGCCACATCTGCTGTACACGGTGCCTTCATTAGTGACCACTCTGGACGCCCCACGATATTCTTACTTACTTCCGCATGCCACCACACTCGACCCTCTTAACTGCATGCATGCTACATCGAAGGTTAGCTATAACCTCCACTGTGGCATGCATGCAGTGACAATCAACGGTTGACGGGTGGGCTGCGGCACCATAAGCAAGGCCGCCGCTCGCTCCCTGGAGAGGTGTTGGTGGTGCACGCTGCGTGCGCTGGGGCGGCCCCAGGCCCCCAGCGACTAACACGGGTAATCCTTGGCCAGGGGTGATCACCAGCGCGTCTATAATACTTCGGTTACTTGCCGTGTTCCCCCAAGTATCGCGACGGCTGAGGGCACGCTACGGCAATCAGGCGAAGGACACCGCGCGGCGGCATGAACGCATGATCCCACGCCATCCAAAGCAAACAATGACATATTTTGATTGGAGGCTCAGAACTGTGTTCAACAATTACACCTGACGCCCACCGCATTGCACGCAGCACAACAAGGAGCTGCGTTGAGAACGCCGCGTGTTACAACCAGTGACAGCGCATGGATTATATGCAAAATAATCAGTTCTGATCGTTGCACATCGCCAAGTGGCCGTGCAGGGTGGTCAGGGCGAACAGCTTGTCAAATTCGATCTGTGCACATCGCCCAACCTCATATCGATGCTGCAGCGTCTTTGAACGGAATTAACAGCCAGCTCGAGCACTCATAGCGGCTGCAGCATCATATCCACAGCACGGCGGGCCTGACGGCACCGCCAGGTTCCACAAGCGGTAGCGCGCGCCGCAGGTCGGCGGCGGCGCCCTCCTCAGCGGGGCCGCAGCACCCGCCGCCCCCTTGACGATGGGGGGCGGCCGGCGCCTGTCGTTTCGCAACGGCGGCGCCCGCTATTCCCGCCTGCCCAACCACTTGGCCGCCAACGGCCACTGCGCGACAAATGGCGGCGGCGCCGCGGCCTGCGACAAGCCCGCCGGCGCGCTGCGCGCGTGGGCCGCGCGCGTGCCGCCGGGGCGCTGGCTGTGCGGCGCGGCGGTGGCGCTGCCGTGGCTCGTGCTGCTGCTTGTTGGGTGCATGTTCCTCGGGCGGGCCCAGCGGCAGCTTCCGGTGCCAAGGGCCGATTTACCCGGCGCCAAGCAGTGCGTCGGGTGGCGAGAGACGTACTTCTGCCACCCCTTTGCGTGAGTAGCTGTTCGCGGCAACTTTTGACTGCACTATCCGCTTCGCCGGGCCGGACGGCGCGTCTTGGCGGCGGCGCCGCCGCAATGCAAGCGGGGCTTGCGGAAGCAGAGGGCTGCTTTGACCGGCGGTTGCCGCGGCAGTTATGGCAGCCCTGCCGCGCGGTGGCCCGCTTTACAAGAGGCGGCACATTGCGGGGGCGCTCAGCCTCGCCCGAGTCCGGCGGCAGCCCCTTGATTCCATGCGCTCCCGCGCCCCACCCTCCCCCCACCCC